TCTTTAAACCATAGTTTTTTATTATATTTTTAAAATTTATATATGGTAACCATAGTAACGATTTTTATTCATGTTGTCACTACTTTGCTATGTGATATCAGAACACTGTTGCTTGTTAATCTACGAGTTTGAAGTGCTGTGTCTTCACCGCACATCAGTGAAACACAGCGTGTTTTTGGGACGCCGCATCTAGTACGAAAATGCAATATTTTTCTGTGTATACCTTAACATTGCAATTGTAATAAGATGCAATATATTTGTTTTTATTCCGGGGGCTAGAAAGTATATTGTTTGATTTACGCTTCTCATAGTTAATTTCGTAATATCCGCTAAATTCTTGAACTTTTATAAGACAAAATAGTGCGCATTTGACCTCCATCTCTCCTGATATAAAATTGGCAAGGAGCATTCGCACCTGTATAATGTCTATTTACTGCGTCATAGTCTTCGTGGACCAAATCTGGAAGCAGGTAAATGTTACTCCATAGCCCTACGCTATTTGAATATGGAAGCGTAATGCTTTGGACGAATCTTAGGTATATTCACAGCTGGGGTGGGCTTCAGCCTACATCTTGGTTCCCCAATGAAGGAAAGGGGAAGGCAGAACTGCTCCTATATATGTGTTCACATACAGGATTATTTGTAAAATACTAACAACCTCACAGGACTTACTAACATTATAAACAATAACTTTTGTTCCATGAAACAATAACTTTTATTCCGTGACTTTTTAAAAAGAACAATAAATTTTGTTAAGTGTAGAGGGCTGGTTACTTATTATTTTTGTAATTTAAATTAAAACAAAATTCTTGACAAATTAAACGCGGTTTATTTAGCACAGGCAAGAGACGAACAGTACAGAGACAATTTTGACAGCAGTGAAATTTATACAATGACTTAGATTTACATACATTCAGCCTAATTTAAAGCTATGTTGAAAATTGTATTTAATCTAATATATTGAATTCAAGAACCGACTAAAAATAATATAATGTATTCAACAAATTTACCAAAAATAAAGTCATTTTTGTTGTACAATTTGACACTTTTTACATTTGTATATGGTAGAATAAGTTAAAATGTGCAAATGTCCAAATGTCCTCCGTGACGACTCCCACCTTCCTACCGCACAGAGTTATTATTGTTTAGAGTGACCAATTTAAATTTATTAATTTTTGTATGAAAGCAAAATATGATGAATAATTAAAATGTCATGGAACAAAAGTTGTTGCTTATGACGTTAACAACATAATCGTGCGAGGTTGTTAGTATTTTAAAAATAACCCTGTATACAGGGTATAACAGAAAGGTGTAGTCGTATTTTCAACGTCATATTTCATTTCGTGAAATTTCGTGAAACTCAAAATACGCATTGTATGGCTCTTGACTTGCAACTGCTAAACATGTACATATTTTTTCTTTCATAACACAAGGTGGCCCATTTACAATGTGCCAAAATTCATTATTATTAATAATGGACTGGAGGCTCAATACCTTATATCTTCTCGATCAGCGGATATATGCGCGGTAATTGTACTACTTTCCACTGTATTAAAATTGTATGTAAATACCTACGTGCACATCCAAACCAGAGCTGGCAATAAATTGATATTATTAGAGTGAATATTTCCGGATTTAAATCGCGTATATTTGTTTTGTCACGGTTGACCATGCGACCTGTAAAGGGCCCGAAACGTCGGTTTGGTCACGGACCATGGGCCAAACAAGTATACGCGTTTTAAATCCGGAAAAATAGTTTCATTTCCTATGTGTAACAATCGCGAAAACCTAAGAACTCGATAATAATTGTGTTGTTTTAATATCAACCTAAGTGCAACTGAAAAGGATTCAAAACAGCGTTAGCGTAAATTTGCCGCATTTCGTTTGTCGGGGATTGGTCGGGACCAAACGTACCGATATGAGTATATATTCCACAAAAGATGACTTGATTTTTTTGTAAATTTTTTTTCAGTCAGTGCGAGTTTATTGTTTTTGTTTTTAACGCGATACAAAAGTAACCTAGTATTATTGCTTGGCTGTTTTTGAAATTTTTTAATACGCCGACATATATGCTTAGAGGATAGAAAAAAAATATATATGACAATAAAAGATCATCCATTTAACTGACACTTCTACTTCCTATAAAAAACAATCGTTTCATTGGTAAAAGGATAACCGAACTTAATGCGTCAATATTAAAACTCAACAGGATAACTTTGGTTTTACTAACTAAATAATACGGGAATTTTAGTAGAATGTAATATTCACTCTGTTGTATTATTATTTGAAGTTTAGGTTAACATATTCTGCCTGTTCTGAACTCTGCTGATTACCAATATAAAACTCGTGTGTCATGTTGCCCCGAATGATTTCGTTATTATAGCGTCCTCGACACGGTGTCTCCAAGGGCACCTTCAAATTTGACGCTTATAGAAGCCCTGCAGTTGCGCGGCTGTAGCGCTTCAGTAATTTTTAGTTTACTTATTGTGACTGCAAAAGTGGCGCACGCGTGTCACGTCAGCGGCGCTGCAACTGCTCTTCTGATTATTGTTTGAAAATCAGTAATGCCCCGGCTGCACCGTCACAGTGGTGCCACTGCAGTATTTTTATAAGCATCTAATTTAATTTGAAGGTGCTCTAGCGCGCAGCAGGGTTTTCGTCGACCATTAAAAAACGAATTCAATAATACAATTTACATTTTTTTTTTGCCAAAATTGATAGAGTCATTTTGTGTGTTTATTACACGTGACGGTATTTTTAGAGGCGAAATCTAAATATACCTACATTACATATAACCATGTAATTGCGAGTGTACGTCAAAAAAGTCGATTAGGACACCATGTAAGGAATTTTGGCAAATACGCATCACATCAACGTACGCTGAGTTGCCTATACGGATTCCAGTAATTTGTATGAGAAGTCAAAAAATATACTTGTTTCCCTACACGTTGTTCGCATTAATGAGTTTAGTATCCTTAAAGAGAAATCGATAATATTTTTACATTTTGTATACTTTCGTAGGGACTCGCTGTTCTTCATTTGTTTATTCATAAAAGCACGTTTCCTATCGTTTGTGATAACATTCTTTTAAATTTGTTACTTAAACATTAAATTATACTCCGCCTACCCACTTATTTAGCTTTTGACATAATAATATGCATGCCTCTGAAGTTCCGCAATTATTGACATACAACCATAGACAAAAAATGCAATACTTCTTGGACTCTTTTATTTTTAATTTTAGTGAAGCGACGTGCTCTTTAGCTCCGATATTTATCGAGCGCACAGATTCAAGTTGATAAATTTTGGTACCTGTCTAGTACATTAAAATGAAATGAAGTAAATTATACATAACTATAGTAAATTGTTATTGTTTATTATAATAAACCGTCGGATTCTTCTCCATATTAACGGGAATCACCACTTGAATCCTCATTACCATTAATTATTAATTCTTGAGTACACAAATTGTCAAACATAACACCACGATCCCAATCTGACAATATCTTTTTTTAAACCCGCTCACATTCACGATTAAAATTTCTTCGTAAATAAAATCGATTGTTATAAAAAATCAAATCAGAAACGCATTAGGTCATCACTGATTGATTGGAATTCGAGCTGTCAAAAGTTAAATAAATGGTTAGACGGAGTATAATTAATAAAGTAAAGTCAATTTGGCCCGGGTATACATAGTTTACCCGGGCCAAATTGACTTGGGAACTATTTATGTGCAGCCTGATCTTTTAACTTCGATTTTTTTTCCTCTTCCCTCTAGGTTTTTTTGTGGCACTTGCTTTTGTTGTAATTATTGAAATTTTCTTGTTGTTGTTTGCATTAACGATAAACTATTTTTTATTGTATTTTCTAGTTATTGCATACATTTTTAAAATATGGATACAGTTTTTTTAGGTTTTCGTATTTGTATGTTGTTAACTAAATTATATTTCGCGTGTATCTTTCATCCGTTTATTCCCGCTGCTGTAGTTTAGTCAGCTCAACAAAATGGTATATTTCTCGTTTGTGCAACAGTTAACAAGTAGTTTGAAGGTTGTGTTCAATTTGAACTTAACACGAACTACTTAGTCGTATAACCAGCAAGATTGGACAACTTGAGACGACCTTTTGAGAGTAAATGGCTGTTTATTAACAAAAACGTTACGTCTAGTTTGAACTGGAAGACGCGGCTTCGACGCCTTCGTTGCGGCAGTTGCCGAGTGCGACCGCGCCGCCGGCGGCGGCAGAGGCTACGGTGACAATACCGTTGCGCCGCCCGCCCTCCGGCTCCGCTGCCACCACTGTGGTCTCCACCCCTGCCGGCAAAGACGAAAGTCGCACAGGTAGCTATAAATAACTTAGCATAAGCTCAGCGAAAGTTGGGGCCCTACTCTGGAAGCACGAAATACGTAGTTACGGCCGTTTTGTCACTATGGATGCCCAACAAACTTGAGTTTCGACCGGGGCTAGAACTAAGAATGTATGACAATGCGATTTGACAGTTTCGAACTTTCGAAGACTTTTCGTTGACGGATTTCCATCGTAGTCCCGTAAGTTATCCATAGTGGGAAAACGACCGAAACTACGTGTTTCGAGAACAGGGCCCCGGAGACGAACAATATCAGCAAGACATTCACAGATACATTGACACGCAAACTTTATAAGTGAGATGCTCGTTTCACATTTCGGTGCTAGATCTATAACAGTGGTTTCAATATCCCCTATTTCAGTATCTTTTGAGCCTTGTCCAAATAAATAATATAATAAATATTAGACGATATGATCCAAAAATAAGGAACTGAAGTTATGGAAATCGGAAACAACGACGTACAAACACCCAGACCCAAGACAATATTGAAAAGTTTGTATGTTCCACATTGGCCCGGCGGGGATCGAACCCAAAACCTCAGAGATGACTTCGCCATGAAAACCGCTGTGCAAGTCGCTCGACCACGGTGGCCGTTATTAAATACGTATAGCCCTATAATGTTAATCCTATTTTTGGCAAATAAAAATATTACTTAGATTTAAATTTCAGATTTACAAGTTGTGTAGTAATTTATGTTATTTATAATTATCTCAAAATAGTCTCGTAAGTAGTTGTCCTGTCGAAGTTTTTCATTCGTTACAGAGTTCTTTGAAGTCGCACAATTAGTACCTCAAATCCTTATTTACCTTGTAGCTGTTTACTTTAACAGCTTTTTATATGAATATTACGTGCCTTCTGCTCGCGTGCAGCTGACGAGGACAAGGAGAGAGAGAGCAGCTCGGAGAGCAAATCATCGAGCACGACGTCACCAGCGAGCACGCAGGCCGCGCTCAACGTGATCCAACGCCGCCGCCGTCCCAAGCGACGTTCCACCGGCGTCGGCCATGTCGACATGGAGGTAAATACCTTTTTAGGCTGCTTAAAAAAACGTTGGAAATAACTATAATATACTTAGTTACTTCAACTATAACAATAATATGCGAGTAAAAAGAATAAAAAAATTATAATAATTTATTTTCAAGTAGAGCTTCGCTTGCTGTAATGTGATGCACGTGACATCATTTATATGTTTTACTCATGGTATTCATAAAAATAAAGATAATATGCACTCTTCCATTTAACGCATTGGTGTACAGTATACATAATAATACGTCGCACAGCACTTCAAAATGTGAGCACGTGTATTATCATAATATGTGCTAACTTCTTCGTGAAAGTAGGTTCACTGCGGTGATTCAACTAGGCTATGACATCAAGTTTATGTTGTCTACGTGTATTCTTTATTGTGAATATGAGCTATACATATATAATTATATTTACTAGTATAATTATATTAATTAGTTTCCTATGTAGGGTATCTTAGAGACTCTGTTTAGGAAATAAGTACGACCTATGGCCTTCACTATCTTTAGCACTCAATTTGTGTAAAATTAAACGAATAAATACATTAACCTCGTGCTCGAACAGACACGTTTTCTAAAAACACGTATAAATACGAAAATTGGCTGTATTCCCGACTCCGGTGACGAATGGATCACTGACAAACATAATTCGAATCTGTCCATTGCGAGCCAAAAAGTGCGCGCACGCGGGTTTCCGGTGTAACTGGACTGTAAGCAGATCTTGTATAAAAAATATTCCTATATTTAAATTTTTTGCGACTATTATCGAAAAACGTATTCGTTACGATTGCTTGCTCATGCAAGCTTCTTAATTTGAAGAGGCTATTCTAGTTTGTATACGAGTCTGTTTGTACTCAGGAAGTCAGGCACGTTTCCAGCGAGAAACTTTGTCGTGTACAAGGACTTTTTCTATCGTTGAAAATAACTCATTTCACATTGGCCAATCTCGAATCTACGCCTACGTATTAACTTCTTAATAAGGTAAACGAAGATATCTCCACAGTTATCGTAATTGTGAAGATTCCAAGACATCATTACAAAGGACTAATAAGGCATTTGTTTATAGGACATCGTGAACGACCGCGGCGGGGGCGGCGAAGGCGACGGCGACACAGAATCAGTACAGGTAAGTCGAAATATACAAGAAAAAGTAATCACTGCCAACTTATTTTGGACCCTGAAATGTCGCGAGTAGAGTTGATTTTTCTTATTCGTGTTCGTGTCACCGCAACATAGGGGACATACTATAACATACAATAACTTAGCCGTTACTTAGAGACGCTTTTGCGTCCATATTGTAATTTTAGCAGGTACTGTACTAGGGAAAGACATTATTCTTTATACTCGCGTAGTGAGACATTCCGATTGAGGTTATATAATCACATCGTTTGGCACTTTAAAATAATGGTTTCATTCCGGTCAACAGATGTGTGCCGGCCATTGACCGGCTATAAAGGACATCATTGTTGTTTTAAAAAAACTTTTGCTCAATGTTATGATTAGCGCGGCCAACCGTAGTGGCGTCTAGGGATGCCATTATCACATGTACATTGTAATCATTATTTTTCATGCAAAAGTGATCTATCGTGTAATTATTAAAAAGCTGTAGTATATCTTCTTAAGCGGAGAATGTAATTTCAATGTGTTTCAGACAGTGACATACTGCAATGGGATTTCTTAATTGTTATGCATTTTATTAACATGCAAGGTTGGGGTAGCGTGTGTATCGATACCACCTACGCACACTACGCCAACTTTATGTTTTGGTCATTTTCTGTTATTTTTTGTAAAAAGTTACATTTATTTACTAATATAATGCTAAACGAAATTTGTGAAAAAAAAATAAAGAAAAAAAAAACAATATCGAAAAAAAATTAAGAATAAAATTTTGAAAAAAAAAGGGAAACATAATAAAATAAAAACAACAGGTCCAAAAATTAAGTTGTCTTAGTGTTCATCATATCGAATCGAGAATTGAAATCGCCTGCTTATTTCTACCAAAAATTGCCATTAATAGCTCGAGGCCAGCGGTCGTGATTTAGCGCTGTGATTGTGGATACTGCATATTCAGTGCTGGTCAGTTTATCTGGCGATAAATACGCGACTAACGTAACTTGTCCCGTAAATTATTATTATTATAACGGAAGAAGAATCAGATGAAACCATATTTTTAAATCTCAAATCGTACGCACAATCTTTCGCTTGATATTAATGCCATTGCGAGCTCGCGCGACAAATTGTGTTCCCGTTGCAGAGTATAATACTCAATTATTACATCAACAAATATTTAAATTGTTACCTCGCCTATCCTCGTCAAGCCAGACCATTTTCACCGCAGTAGTAATTGTTTCGGACAGAGATCGAGAGTAGACCCCCAGGTCGGGACCGCGGCGGATCTCATTCCGTGTATTTATATGCACGACAACAACGACATGCACCCGACTTGCACCCGCTGTCTGTGTTTCACGCTTTAGAGTTATGTCGTTTGACGGCGCGATCAGGTGTGCTTAATATAATTCAATATTTTGGTGGCCTTGGTGGTCTAGCGGTTAACTTTGTGGGCGCTGGATGAGCAGGTTCGATTTCCGGTAGGACGAATTTGGGAAATGAACTTTTGAAATTGATCTACTTAGTTTCGTTACCCTCGTACTCACAATCATCATCACATACAGCCCGAATCAATCTACTGCTGGTAACAGGCTTCTTTTATTTATAGTTCAGGGAAATCCTAGTTATAATAAGATTTAATTGGTGTGCTTTTCTGCCACTATAATGTTTTTTTATTAAAATGAGAAAATAAAAAAAATAAAATTTTAGAAAGAGTCAAGATGAAGCTGACTTAGTGAGTTGTCGTTTAACAATTTAGCTGTCCTTTTCGGGCAGTGATTCGAAGTAGTTGACATATACACCGACTTGAAGAAAAGGAAGAGGTTTTTTGTATGTATGTTACGCGATAACTCCGGCAGCATTTGTGAACCTATTTTGATAATTCTTTTTTGTTGGAAAGAGGGTACCGGAAGAATGGTCCCATTTAAATTTGAAGAAAATTTGGCAAACTAGGGGATGAACACAGATATATATCTAGATAGACGCCGCCAGTACTTTCAATTTGTATGAAAACCGAGCGTGCCACATTTTATGTATCCACCATGACGTCACAAGAACTAATGAAAAACTTCCTTCAATCGTTATAAGAATTGATAATAATTAAATCGATTGATTGAACGGAATACACGTATTCCATTCAATTAATCGATTCAAGTATTTGTTGATTACAAGTAGTCTTAATATTAATATAGTAGAAAAATACTAGAATAAGATAAATTCGTCTTTTATTTTACTTTAAAAAAAATTCAGACTTTACTTTTTAATCGACTTCAAATATTAAAATTATTGTACTTACAGTGAAAAGAGCTTATAATATAACATCTTTTTGTAATACAAGATCTTATCGATTAACTTAAATAATGAAAACGCACCTCATTATATGAACTTGCGACTGTCTTAATTAATTTTACTAGATGGTTTTCTGTTGGTAATTGATCAAATTGATAAATGGCAATACAAATAAAAATGTGTCTGCTGACAAAATTTGGTAAAATCTTATTAATCAGAAGAGGTTTACTTAATGATGGCCACGTGTGAAATTTTTGTTATTTGTTTATTATTTCTCGGATTTCTATCTCTGCTACTCGTTATATTTGGATAACATTTTAGGTGGGATAAACTAGACCACTTTCGTCCTCGAAAGCAACGAACTCATACGTAAGACCAACTCCAGGTTTTTGTAAAGACTGTTAATTCTTTGCATTATATACTTTTTTTGTATTAGTCGTAATACCTAACTGTATTCGGACATTCGAGGCAACGTGCTGAAAAATTATCGAAATTACAGATACTACTGATAATAGATATTACAAAACCGAAAAAAAACCGAGACGTTACGAAACGTTATAACAACAGAGTTATAGAATATTTTTATAATATTGCTAAGGTCATTATAATTTTCGTCCCTTTGTTTTCAAAATCGATCAGAATCGAGAACAGAGTTGCCCAACGTATACATCACTAAATGTTAAATTTGGCCAAAAAAAGCATCACAAATATATCGCACCAAGTAAAAGCCGCAATGTATTACAAATCATGAGGCATGCACTGAGTTGCATATTTGTTTTCTCGAAATTCATACCAAACCAAAATAATTGTTCTGATTACAAAATCACTTGCTCGTGAAAGGAAACGTCCCTGTTTACCCGTTTACCCGTTTACCCACAGTTATGGTGCTTTAGCAGTTTATAATGGCACAATCATGCATTTTTCGCGTTTTCGACTGGTGTTTATCTACGATAACGGTCGAGCGCGTTCTGAAGTGTAGCAGCGGCAAGTAAGTGAATTTCACTTACTTTGGGCACGCGAAACGGTACACTTGCGGCGTCTATCTAGATATATGTCTGTGGAGATGAATGACTGTTGAGGCCGGTTTTTTAGTACTCTGTACTGATATTATTAAAGTTTGTTTTTGTACACTATGTGAAAACTGACGGAGTTCCAAGTTATTTTGTGGTAATGAGAATTATTTCAAAGTACGGCAATTATTTTGAAGTAATGATGTATATAATATTACCGATTAAGCATTCACATGCTCACTCCTCCTTGTCAGAGTAAAGTGAACGGGTTGCAGAGTAATTAATAATTAAAATATTTTAAATTTCGTACTACGAGAGTGGCAATAATGTCTCCTTTTGATACAAAATTGTAATATCATTTGTTCTTATTGTTCTCGATTGTCATTATGTTTGTTGAGTAGGCAGCATCCTTCCGTCGCGACGGTTGCGTTTCGGACGCTGACATCACTGTTGTGTTATATTTAGACGTTATTATTACTCCATATGACGTGCCACTCTTCGTCGGTAGCGTATGGAGAGAACATTGTAATGGTTATTGTAACTAAGCCCATATTACTCATAAAGCTCTTAAGACGTTACCAGATAATCGGATTATCTCGTTATTTGGCACAGATCTCCTGTAAGCCCGGCGCCCACAGTCGGCATGGTTCAGCAGAGGAAACTTACCCTACCTTAAACTTATGCGACCTTTGTAATTTCAATGACAAAGGTCGCAGCTAAAAAATAAGCTGCTACATGCTTAGGGATACCGAATCGGCCGCCTCGGGAAGGCCTCGGCAGTGTTGGGGATGCTTCGGAAGGCTTCGGGACGCCGAGTGTCACTATGAGAGGCGAGGGGAGGTATGAAGAGAAGCTAGGCGCGAGCACAATGTCGCGATGGAATACTTGGGCATGCTTAACGCTGCCGCGTCGAAGATATGGAAAATAAGATATAAAAAAACCTTTTTTATTTTAAAAAAACCTTATTTATTATGTTAGTAACTCAATTTTACTAAAAATTACGCTAGTCATGAATAGAGAAATAGAAACGAAATATCATTTAATTTGTTTGAAAACTATTCTACCAAATCATTGCGGTGACAACTGCGTTACGATTGGCCAACCCGAATCGTCAATTGTTTCACTTCAAATCGACCAGTTTAACTTGAGCTTTGCTATAATTGACGAAAATTGCAAAATTACATATTTAATTACCGATGAAGTATTACTTACTTACTGCTTTTTCTCACACCATCGAATGGAACACCCATTGTTGGAGATATTTATCTTTATTACAAGACAGAATATTTTTGGAATATATGGAGACGTAAACACAGGTCAGTTGTTGGCGCTGTAATATTTCAGTTTTCTAATTTGTGATTTCAGCGCAAACGCGAGTTGATATTTAAAAGTGATAAGGCCCATTAACTAGATGAGATGCCAGGGCTGGATGGCCCTTATTTCGTCTCTATTTCTGGTTATATACTCGATGTCTGCCGCCCTTATCATGACTAGCGTAATTTTTAGTCATTCATCCAATGCTGTATGCACGTCTTGTGCCTTTTCATCCAATTTTTTTCCTCGCCACTTTGACTAGCTCGTCAGTCTGTAGCCTAGCCGTAGGGAAATGAGAATGCAGTAAGCTCGGTCCACGATATTTATTGTAAGAGATGGTAAAAGACGAAAAGGAAGGATGTAACAAATAGTCAAATCATATAAAAAAGTACAATTATAATAAAAC